AAGGAATGACAGTTAAGACAGATTTATATGAGCAATAAAAATGTATTTAGTAATGCATTTCAAAGTAGACAGTTAATAAAAATAAATTTTATAAATAATGAGGTAATATTTTTCTCTTGTTAATAAGAAAGGACAGTTCATGATTAAGATAGATATCTGGAAAAACCTTTTTTTAAAAAATTGGCTCAGGTTCCTGGAAGATACATTATAGCATCATATATAAACTACTGGTCCATAAATAATACTGGGTTTTTAAAGGCCAGCAAATGTGTCTGATACTATATATTTCAAACAGCAATATTATATATCTTTGTTATTATCCTTATAAGATATATCTATTTCTTATGGAACAAATTCTAACAGTAAGCAGATGTTCACTTTCATCATAATTTATTTGTTAGTCTAAAAGCTCAGTTCAGTGCTGAAGAGTTATAAAACAGTTGGTTTTTGGAACTAAAGTTGAACTGGAATCACTCTTTAAACAGGGTCAGCCTTTTAAAACTTTTGTCTAATTCTGAACAAATGTTTGGGCTTTTACTTCTAATTTAGCCCTTGAACGGAATAGTCAGACTGAATTAGACCATAAACTCGTGTACTGCTGAGCTTGTGTTTTTAATTAAAGGATGGCCAAGTGACAAATATTGGGAATCAGACTGTGGACCCTGGAAAAGGCCAGCAGCCTGGGGTTAAATGAATTGAATTCTTTCAAGGCAGACACAGGAAAACAAAAGTGCTTCAAAACCAAATTTGCCTAATGATGAAAGTAATTTGTGATATTTTTATCATTAATCTGTTTTCATCCATGTTCCAATGTTGGTTTTTTATTTCATTCCATTCATATTTCTAGCTATAAAATTTCCCCTCCATATCAAGAACAATGGGCTTTCTCCATTGTCAGAGCCTTTTTACAGTGCTCAGCTCTGGAGTCAAACCCAGTTCCCCAATGAAGATGATGATTATGTGTAATAACCAGATGATGAGTTAGAGTGAAGATTTTGATCTTGTTTGTTTTCAATAATTATTAGAGGCTTTAAATGTGAATATAGGCCTCAAAGGAAGTACTGACTGAAAGTCCAGTGGGCTTTCTGAGTATAAAGAGCCTGTTAGGACACTGGTAGATGCTGAGAATGGAAGTAGAGGTAGACTTTGGTTCAACAAGGTGGAGATGACATAAAAAGTTTAAATCGTTGTGATAAAAGTTTTTCATTTTCTTTCCCTTTTCTGTCATTTTCCCTCATTTGAGTATTTATATTTTTAGCCCCTTTATGCTTGCCTCTGCTGTGACATAGTTTTATTAGTGATAGGATTTTGTCCTGTCTTTTAGGTTTGAAATAGCATGGTTTAGTGAAATTGGCAGAGCTCAGATAGCAGACAGGGCTGCATGCACAAATGTTGCTTCCATAGCCTTTACTTTCTCCTTGATTTTTTATTTGAAATCTGTTTTTCAGTCATTCATGCAATTACATATTGAAAGAACATACTTTCTCATTTAAAGTGCCGTAGGGTGGCAATATGGCACCTTTAGGAGGTCAAACCCCATTGTGGTATTAGGCAAACAAAAAGAACAGAAATGGTTGAAGCCGGTTTGGCTCAGTGGTAGAGCGTTGGTCTGCAGACTGGGTTCGATTCCGGTCAAGGGCATGTACATTGGTTGCGGGCACATCCCCAGTAGGGGGTGTGCAGGCGGCAGCTGGTCGATGTTTCTCTCTCATCAACGTTTCTAGCTCTCTAGCTCTCTCCCTTCCTCTCTGTAAAAAATCAATAAAATGTATTTTTTAAAAAAAAAAATAACAGAAATGATTACAATTCCAAGTGGTAAGATCTGGGGATAAGACCATTTGATTCGAAATTTATTGTGATCTTTTAAACTATATATATATATATATATATATATATATATATATATATACACACACACACACACACACACACACACACACATACATGCATATATATACACACACATATATATACATGCATATATATACACACATATATATACATGTATGTACTATATAAAACAAGAATAAAAGCTTTTAAGGCTTTTTGAGTATTGTTAATAGATAAAAATTTATAAAGTGGCCTTGGCTTAGTGAAGAGTTAAATCAAGACCAGCTTCTGAGTGTCAGGGTAGAACTTTACTTTAAAAACCTTGTGGAGATAGTTAATGATAGCATACATGTTTTTGAAGAGTTTCTATGTGGAAATATAGGGGTTCAGAAAGCTTGATTGCCATTTTTGTGTTCACCAACTGAAGTAAATACAAAATCCTGGCATATGACTTAGTGAACAAAGAAGTAATGATTATAATTCACCAGTAAATCAGAGAGTTTATTTTAGTCTAGAATTTAACTTCCCCTTTGTGCTGACTAAACCTGTGCCTGTGCTGCACTTTTCTTGTGACTAAAATTGTTCATAAGCCTGGCTTTGCATCTTTGCCAGGTAAGTGCCCTCACAGCCTTTCTGCTGACATTACCTGTGTAGGTTTAATATCTACTGACATCACTTACATACAGGGTGGGGCAAAAGTAGGTTTACAGTTGTTCACTTGGAAATAATACAATAATCTATCTATATAATTGAGGAATAGGTAAATTAGCAGGGACACCATAAAGTCATGACCAAACAACAGGAACCTGTGGCTGCATGGTGCCTGGCCGGGGCGAGGGACCTCAAGCCGCGCCTCCTGCCCCAGCCCCAGTGCCGGTCAGGGAGACTTCAGGCTGTGCCCCCTGCCCTAGCAAGGGCTTGAAGGGGGACCTGAAACTTCGCTCCCCATCGGGCACTGGGCTGGGACCTGAGGCAGCACCTCCCGTTGGGAGGGACTTGACCGAGATGGGGCTGGGTCTCACCCAGTGGGGGCAGGGCTGGCCTGGTCTGGGTCTCCTGTGTTTTTGAAGTGCATGCGGGTGGTGGGCAAGTGCTTGAGTGTAGGTCCCATGGCACGCCCAGACTCTGCAGGAAGGAAATATACATGTTACTAATTTTAATTACCTCAGGTCCCCTGGCCCCGTGCTGCGGGCCGGGGGTGCTACCTGAGGTCCCCTAGCCTGGTGCCAGGGTGGGGGGTGTGGCCTGAGGTCCCCTTTCAAGCCCCACCTGGTGGGGGGCATGGCCTGAGATCCCCCGGCCTAGCGCTCACATATATTCGAGTAACACAAAACCAATTCACATATGAAGAGGGATTAGACTCACATATATTCATGAGGGATTACTTAAAAACAAGTATCATGTATGAAGAAAACTAATCAAGTTAATATTTGAGTAAAATTTTCAAATAATTATGGGAACATGCTAATATCAGCAAACTAGAAAAATAGTAAATAAATACTAAAAATATATATATATATACTTGTTTTTAAGTAATCCCTCATGAATATATGTTGGAGGAGAGCATCCTGAGGTCCCCTAGCCCAGCCCCGGGACAGGAAGTGCGCCTGGAGGCCCATCAAGCCTTGCTGGGTGGGGGACGTGGTCTGAGGTCCCCTGTCAAGCCCCATGGGGGTGGGGGAAAGTGTAGCCTCAGGTCCCTGCTGATTGCTCATTAAGGCTCCTTATGGAAACTTGGCCTCAGCTGTGGTTGCAGCCATCTTTGTGATGGAGTGATGGTCAATTACCCCGTTTCCCCAAAAATAAGACAGTGTCTTATGTTAATTCCCCCCCCCCCCCCAAAGTTGTGCTAGGTCTTATTTTCAGGGGATGTCTTATCTTTCCATGTGCTAGGTCTTATTTTCGGGGAAACACGGGTAGTATATTCTCTCTTTATTATTATAGATAGGAAGCCTTAGTGACAGTTGACCTTTTGACTAGTATTTATAATACACACTAACCACCAGGGGGCAGATGCTCAACTCATAGGCATGGAAACATGGAACAGACTGATGAACCTTAGAAAGAAAGGGAGAGAAGGGAGGGTATGAAGAGATTAACCAAATATCTTATATGCATAATAGAGGCTTGGTGCACGGATTTGTGTACTGGTGGGGTCCCTTTGCCTGACCTGCTGGGATTGGGCTGAAACCAGCAATCTGACATCTCCCAAGGGGTCCTGGATTGCAAGAGGCCAGCCTAGGCCCAGGGACTCCACCAGTACACTAATCTGTGCACCATGTCTCTAGCTAATAAATAATAGTACAAGAATAAACTCTGTGTTTTGCATACTCACAACTGTAAACCTATTTTTGTCCCATCCTGTATTTCTTATAGCTAAGAGAAAAATTTTGAGGTTCACCCCTTTTTCTTAAAGACATTTTAAAAACTAAACTATGTTTTTACTACATTAAAGGGTTTTTAAAGCATGCGTGTAACACCTGCCATTTTGACATGAATATTTTCATTTTTCTGGTTCCTTTCTAGTCCCTCTTCATATGTGAATTGGTTTTGTGTTGCTCGATTCATGTGTTTTCCCATTCAACATAAAGATGCTTCCATTGTTACAAAGTCTTCACTGTTATAATTTCAATTGCTATATAATAGCTCATTTGTTTCTTATTTTCTTATACAACTTTTTTTTAGTATTTATTTACTGTTTTTCTAGTTTGCTGATATTAGCATGTTCCCATAATTATTTGAAAATTTTATTCAAATATTAACTTGATTAGTTTTCTTCATACATGATACTTGTTTTTAAGTAATCCCTCATGAATATATGTGAGTGTATAAAACTTATAGCATTATTTAAAAAGGCAGTAAAAATTACTGAATAATTTAGACTCATTAATAGAAAGACCTGGATTATCTTGAGCTACTTTTAATTCAGCCTTTAGGTTTACTTTTTCTCTCTAACATGTCATGTTGTTAGTCTGATTTAACCTTTGATTACTATTTTTGCATGTCATATTTGTATATGGAAGTTAAAATAAATGCTATATTATGTAAGGAAATGAAGCTTATTTGATATTTAACTCCACAGATTTATATTGCAACCATTTTCTTCTTACATAATGGACTTGCATGAACTGTCTGACTGATGGGGAATGTTATGCTCTGTATTTCTCCAGGAGCTCCCCAGAGTCCTTCTGCTTCATGAACTGTCTAAGCAGGAAGGTGCATGGACCATCCTTCCACTGTTACCGCAGTACGTTTAACTGGAAATGTGTCAATTCCTGACATTTCTACTGGGAAACTCGTAAGCTCCCTAATTTTCTTATAAGAGGGTGTGTTTTTTTTCTCAGCGCCAGTAAGTGAAGTAAATTTGAACTCAGTTTTTTATGGCTATTACATTAACCCGATTTCTTCCTAACCATGAATGACTTTTATTTTTAAATGTTTCTTTTTTTAAAGATAAAATGTCTCTATATTTGATATTCATGTTTGATAATTACTGTGGTTTTGTTAAATCTTAAAGGTTTCACTTTAAGAACTCTAGCTGTTGTATAAACCATTATTATTTGGCTTTCCTATATGCTGAAACTATATGTTGAAGAAAAGTATAAGAAAAAACTTTGGATTTCTTGTTATTTTATATGTCCTTCATCATTTCCTGCCTATTAGTTTTAAATCTTATTATAAGCTTGCTTAATAGAAGTGATTACTAGAGCCTGTTTCTTTTTATCAGCTTTTCTGCAACATATAGCAGATATTCCTCGTGGATTTTCTTCTGTGAAGAAGAGACAAGAATAAAAGTTCCAGAACTCTTAGAAACACTCAGAAGATATGACACCTCAAAGGTGAATACAGTTTCAATACCAGTGTTTATTTTTTTGGGTGAAATGCTTAAAAGAAGATTTTGGCTATGAGGTTTTTAAAACTAATAAAGCAATTTATAACAAAAGAGAATGGAATAATAGTTGAATATCTGGAAGCAATGTTTAATAATTCTCTTTAAGTTTTCTAGCTTTCAGAGGGATGGAACTTACCATGAGCTGTTCTTAAATGAAAAGAAAAACCTATTTATGTATGCTAACAGTTTCAGAAAGTTCAAAAACTATAACACAGAATTAAGTTATGCTTCTCTTTATGAACAGTAACCACATAGTATTTTAGATATGAAATATATTTGAGTACCACAGTGATAGCAGGGCACACAGACAAGGTCCTGACCACATGGATAGTACCGGATAATAGGAAACCACAGACGATTACAGAAGCAATTACAGTTAAAAGTGAGACTTTTTAATAAAGGAAATGTGAGGCGCTATTAGAAGCATATAGCTGGGCATCATATTTAATCTGGAAGGGTCACAAGTGGAATTGATCTTTAATCTGAGTCACGTAGGATGAGTAGGAATTAACAGGAGAGAAAGTGTTCTAAGCAGTTCTTTGTAAAAAGGTCTGGAGATGACAAGGGATGCATCTTATGTTAGATTCTTTGCTACTTTCATATTTTCAAATTTATTTTATGAAAACAGGATATAGCTATTGGCTCTTTTTTTCTTTATTGATTAAGGTATTACATATGTGTGTTTTTTCTCCCCATTGCACCCCACCTCCCCACTCATATCCTCACTCTCCTGGTGTCTATATCCATTGGGTAGGCTTATATGCATGCATACAAGTCCTTTGGTGGATCTCTCCTCGTTTCCCCCACCCTCCCCTGCCTTCCCTCTGAGGTTTGACGGTCTGATCAATGCTTCTCTGTCTCTGGATCTGTTTTTGGTCATCAGTTTATGTTGTTCATTATATTCTACAAATGAGTGAAACCATGTGATATTTATCTTTCTCTGACTGGCTTATTTTGTTAGCATAATGCTCTGCAGTTCCATCCATGTTGTTGTATATGGTAAGAATTCCTTCTTTTTTTAGCACAGTGTAGTATTCCATTGTGTAGATGTACCAAAGGTTTTTAATCCTCTTATCTGCTGATGGGCACTTAGGCTGTTTCCAAATCTTAATAATGGTAAATTGTGCTTCTATGAACATAGGGGTGCATATATTCTTTCTGATTGGTGTTTCTAGTTTCTTGGGATATATTCCTAGAAGCAGGATCACTGGGCCAAATGGGAATTTCATTTTCAGTTTTTTTGAGGAAACTCCATACTGTTCTCCACAATGGCTGAACCAGTCTGCATTCCCACCAGCAGTGCATGAGGGTTCCTTTTCTCTGCATCCTTGCCAACATTTGTTGTTTGTTGACTTGATGATAGCCATTCTGGCAGGTGTGAGATGGTACCACATTGTCATTTTGATTTGCATCTATCAAATGATTAGTGACTTTGAGCATATTTTCATGTGTCTCTTGGCCTTTCATGTGTCCTTTTTCTAAAAGTATATATTTAGGTCCATTGCCCATTTTTTGATTGTATTGTTTATCTTCCTTTTGTTAAGTTGTATGAGTTCCCTGTAAATGTGGGAGATTAAACCCTTATTGGTGATAACATTGGCAAATATGTTTTCCCATGCAGGGAGCTTTCTTGTTGTTTTGTTGATGGTTTCTTTTGCTGTGTAGAGCTTTTTATTTTGATCTAATCCCATTTGTTTATTTTCTCTTTAATTGCCATTGCCCTAGGAGTTGTACCGGTCAAGATACTGCTTTGGCATATGTCTGAGATTTTGCTGCCTGTCGGTTCCTCTAATGTTTTTATGGTTTCCCATCTTCTTGGCTCTTGTTTACTTCTAATCCCTAGCACTAGCAGAGTATTGAATACTTAATAGGAGGATCAATAAACACTTGTGAACAACTGAGTCATCCTGTGAGGTCAGCTTTCCTCCGTTCCGTGCCCCTACAGGTGTAGAGGGCTGACTCAGAGGCGTCTTGGGAATCAATCAAGCTTCTCTGTTCTGGAGAAGCCTAGGTTACACTCTAATCACCTTATAGAATTCTTTAACCTTGGAATAAACAGAATGGTCCATTTCCGATACTAATGGATGCCTGCCTGGCCCACCCATGTTCTGATGCCCACTGAGAACTGGGTTAGGTTTAATGAGGACCCCGGAAAGGAAAGGTGGCTTTTGGCTGCCTGTTTGGTTTGTTGATAATAGACCCTAAAAGTTGGGGACAGTGAACATTAGATTTCTCAAACACTAGAATGTTTGTTACTGTCATAAAACCACCAGTTTCAATGTTGTTTACATGCTTGAAGGATCCATTGTAGTTTTTCTGCATGATTTGCTTTCTGGGAAGATACAGTATAATTGAATGAGAGAGTTGTTAGTTTAAAAAAAAAACTCCTTCATAGGAGAGAAGAATTATGACTATGTCTGAGATGATGCTAACCAGCATCTATGTACCTTTTGCCATGTTTTATGTAAAACATTTGTTACGCGTTTATGTTTCCTTTTGACTTGGAAAAACTCCCAACTCTTTTTCAGGATGTAGGAGTTTTAATCTCCTCCAAGTGTTCATTTCACCTGAAGATTATTTTTCCATTATCTATAGCTCTAATTCTCTTCAGAAGAAGGTGACTCACAGAGTTTTTTGTTGTTTTTTTAATGAAAATTGGAATAAATTCAAAAGTTCAAAGCAAGTTCATGAAAAGCAAGAACAGAGTAAAAGTGAGATGGTTCCCCCTTTTTTTTGAACTCTGCCATGGGGGGGGGGGGGGGGGAGTCTAGGCTGCTTTATTTCTTTAAAAGCTAGCACTTAGGAGTAGGAATTACATAATGTTGAAATTAGCTCAAATCAGTGTTGTCCCCTCACCTCCCCCCCCCCCCCCCCTGCTATTTGACATTTTAGAAATAAAAGTATAAAGCAAGTCTGGCTTGGCTATTGACACAAATAAACTACATAAAAATAATATGACATAATGTGGTAGAGTATCAGTTATTTTGTTTTATTCTGACATTTTCCCCTTCAGTATCTTCCTGTCATTCTTACTAATGCGAATTCATGCCGTTGTACAATATTTTAAAAATTAAATCTTTGCCAAAACCGGTTTGTCTCAGTGGATAGAGCATCAGCCTGCGGACTAAAGGGTCTCAGGTTTGGTTCCGGTCAAGGGCATGCACCTTGGTTGCAGGCACATCCCCAGTGGGGGTTGTGCAAGAGGCAGCTGATCAACATTTCTCTCTCATCATTGATGTTTCTAATTTTCTATCCCTCTCCCTTCCTTTCTGTAAAAAATCAATAAAATATATTTTTAAAAATTTAAATGTTTATTAAAATAATCAATCTTTGTCAAATTGCTTTTCCAGGTTATTTCTATAAATTTTCAAATCTTTTTTAATATATATATATTTTATTGATGTTTTTACAGAGAGGAAGGGAAGGGATAAAGAACTAGAAACATGGATGAGAGAGAAATATCGATCAGCTGCCTCCTGCACACCCCACACTGTGGATGTGCCCACAACCAAGGTACATGCCCTTGACCAGAATTGAACCCAGGACCCTTCAGTCCACAGGCCATCGCTGTATCCACTGAACCAAACCGGTTTTGTCAAATTTTCATATCTTGATGAAGTCTTTATTTTTCCCACTGTATGCCTTTAATATAAGTGTGCATATGCTGACATGTCTTGACTTTAATTTTTTTTGCATTATTCTACATTCTGTAGGCAGTAATTATAATTTTTAATGTCTATTTATAATTTTATCCTATAAATGTGCCACAAGCAATTTCTATTATTGAATGTTTAAACTGGCATTTTCTCTTTTTCCTTTCTCTCTATAATACATAAATATTTATTTTTAATTTTTACTTTAGAGGTATCAGAATAGTGCCCGAATCTTTTACACTTCCAGAGTCCAAAGTTTTTAAATACATGGAGCTGATACAATGATTTGTACATTATAGCAACCTGAGAATAATGAAAGAAAAATATTTTACAGATTCAAATAAAGAACTTTAATTAAGATTTAAACATCCATTGCTATCACACATACATGTTAAGAAGTGCTGTATAAGTTCCTATAGAGATTTATATACATAATTAATACTTACCGTTAGTTTTTTTTGCCTCAAGTTTAACATCTCCCAAACCATAGGTAATATTTTATTTGAATTAATCAATATACATTTTGAATATATAATTAGCAGAAAATCTTACATAACCTGATACTCAAAGAGACCAATTATTATTTCTTTGATGTTCTAAATATTTTTAAGGCAGACAAATATTTGTTTTAAAAGTTAAAAACTCAACAGGATCTATGTCTTTAAAAAATATTTATTTTTGAAAGTGTTAAATATATGCCCTTCCTCCTCCCCTCTGCCCCACTGAACTCTTCTCACTCACCCGCCTTCCATCTCAGGCCTTCACTAGCCTATTGTCTGTGTCCTGGGTTATGTATATATGCATACAAGTTCTTTTGTTGATCTCGTCTCACTCACCCACCCTCCTCTGCTTCTGGAACTGTTTTTGATACAACTTTACATATTATTCATTTTTAAACAAGCAGTGACTATCTCTTTTGGATTTTCATTGATAAGACCTATGATACATAGCAGATAATAATTTATAAAATGAATAACATCTGGGAATTTATTAAATTTTTAGGGATCCAACATTATAAAATTTCCAGTAATCATATCATTTAAAAATGAACATATACCTATTAAGAAATGTAGTAAAAATTGTTTAATCACTTTAGAGCAGTCAAAATACAACACTAAGATTGGTGTCTTGGTGTCTGAAAATAGTCATTTTGCCATATGCAGCTTAATCTTTTATTCATTTTAAGTTAATTCAAAAACTGAGTTTTAATCAAAGTTGTTTTTAAACATTGTTGAAGAGTCAGATCAATGTCACTAGCCCTTGCTTCTCTCCTCCTCTGCTTTCTCTCTCTTCC